CTTTACACTAAGCCCTTAAGTCTAAATGTATTCAATGTTACTTACGGCTTACTGAAATGCTCCAAATTTATTTGATTTCTCACTGCTATACGGTTTCAATTTTTTTCCTTCTTTAAACGGATTTATTATACCTAATATCATCGAATTAACACTAATTGGTTTACAAAATTGTAAAGCAAAAACAGAACGCATACTACAGCCCATTCCCAAACCTTAAAAACGCACGCTTCCCTCCATAACGTTAATTCAGGTTGGTCATTCTACCAATACAGCAGGATGGTAGACATCGCATCCTCCCTTGAGCGGAAGGAATACTGCTCGGATGATTTCTTAAGCCAGAAACACGCTTACGCGATGCTACCCGACGCAAATCCAAACTCAGATTTTCCATAAGGTTGCTTTACCCCCGTGCACATCTACCCGATGCTCTGCGATCCCCACTGTCCAGATTTTCGGGTCGCATCGAGTACAGTCGAAGACAAAAGAACCGGACACTCATATTTTTATTCAAACTACATGTATAATTGTCGTTATATTAATTACAACATACTTATTTTAATATAAACCAAATTAACCAAGATCAAAAATTCATTAGTTTTTATTTTAAAAAAATAAATTTAATTATTCGGTATAAAATCAATTGAAACACCAGAATATCATTTTTTGATATAATGAATTTAACTATTTATTACACGATTTTGCTCATAAAATGTAATTAACAATTTATTTCATACGTTTGCTCGTAAAATTACACCATTTTGTAATGTCGGGTAGCATGAGAACAGGACACTCATATTTTTTGTAGTTTATTTCAAACTAAGTACATGTGATTTTGTCGTTATATTAATGTTATTTTAATGTAAACCAAATTAAACGAGATAAAAAATGCATAAGTTTTTATAAACATTGTTTAATTATGATGGTTAGGAGTAACTTTATTTAAAACAATTAAGTTTAACAAACAATTTATTAGATGGTTGTGCTCATAAAATTTAACTAACAATTTATTACAAGGTTTTGCTCAAAATAGTGCATTAAGAACAAAAAATGCGTTGCGATTGTGATAGTGATTATTGTGATAAACGCTGTGGACTGTACGCGACGTGTGCTTGCGTCGGATAGATGTGCACACCCCACCAAAACGTGGCAAGGCGTCGGGTACCGTCGCATGGCGTAGCATCGGGTAAGTGTGTTCCTGGCTTTAGGCGTGAAGCAAATGTTCGATGGAGTGTAGCACCAGAATTCGATCCGGAAACTCAAGTGCATTCTGTCATTCTCTTATAACTTCATCATAATTTCCTATCTGTCCTATAGGTACTTTCAGGTACAAATTGAAAAAATTCTCCCCTCCACTATTCCAAAGCGGGTGTTCAGCAAGGCAGTATCCTTGGTCTCATTGTTTATACAGTATACATTGCAGACATTCCTGTTAATCACAATACAGTACTGTTCAGGTATCCTTTCAGCAAACCAAAATCCTGTAGTGACCTTCTGATACCTCTAGGGCCATCTACCAGGTTTGGAAGATCATGAAGATTCAAAAAATAGAAGATCAGCTTCAACGATACTCAATCCTAGCACATAACCTTCATCTTTTTTCGTATCATCTCTCCTCCAATCAATTCTGACAAGCACCCAATGTCGTTCGTCATTTGTGTCTTAACATCTTCAAAAGAATTACTTGACTTACTCGACTCTCAATAAAACTGAACAGATGATGTGAACTGCGCAAAAGACTATTTGACAATAGATCAAAACTCGTATTACAAAACAAACACATATCATCACCTCAACCAACCTAGACGAAGGGAGTTCAACCGAGCGTTCCAACCTCCTAAGAAACCAGTGCGTAATAAATAAAAAAAAACATGCTATTCGGTTAAATTTTGTGCAAATTATATGCAAGCTCTTTATGTACGTACACGTTTGGACGGTTATAGTACACACATTGAGAGGAGTTATAAGAGGATCCTGAGCCTGATAAAGCCCAGATATGCACGCATGTTAAACGCGAATGTCTTATCCTTAATCTTATCTATCAAATCGCATTGGATCAGAATCTCGGAATACATTTAAATAGTTAAGGATTTGCGTCGTGTCTGACTAGTTTTCCACTATCATCGTAATAGATTAAATATGTTTTAAATATGTTCTTATTAGATCTTTAGGAATAAGATCAAATTGTTGATGTTTGGGGAATTCTTTAATTATATTCTAGAAAATTCTTCAGTTTTGATTGAGCTTTTCTTATTGATTTTGTTGTATATCCGTCAGCCATTCTCACGCTTTTACACAATTATCAATTAAATTATACTAATTTTGTATTATTAAATTGATTTAATTGGCATCTTTTTTTGTTAACTCTACCGCTTTTGTTATTATTCAAGGGGAGAAACGGATTATCGATCGTAGAAGTGCTGAAAATTGAAAATCTCGTTTCCATCTATAAATTAAAATGTTGTCCGGTTGGCATTTGTGCTAAATCTTTAACAAATTTTCAGCAGACTCTTTCCCAAACATTGATATTTTCTGAAGTTTTTTAGGAGGATCTACGGAAGAGGTCAACACAGAGAAAAACTTCCTTTCGGTTTTCGCCGAGCTTTCGACAATTTTTTTATACTTTCATATTCAAAAATAAATAAATAAAATAAAAAACCTGTCGAAAGCTCGCCGAAAACCGAAAGGAAGTTTTTCTCTGTGTTGACCACTTCCGTAGATCCTCCTAAAAAACTTCAGGTGTCCAGCAGATCGATAACCCAGCTCATCATTGATATTTTCTATTATAACACAATTATTATAAAATTTTAATTCCTATTTAGTTCTTTTATAGCAATGCAAAGTTTAAGTATAAAAATAAACGTGTTTTAACTTTTATTAACAAAATATGTATGAAATTTGAACATACCATCATCAAATCATTACACATTGCCCATAAAATAAACCGACCACCTGGTTTTTGCACGAAAAAATAGCCAAATTTGGAAATACACACATTTTTGTTTTCATCTCGCAACAGCAGAGGTCATATAAACCCTCAGGGTGCCGGTATTTTTGAAAAAAAAAAACCATTTATAAGTATGTCGGATTTGATTGTATTGAAGGGCCGCTGGATTCGAACCTGGGACCTTTACTTTACAGTGATGAGCCTCAACCGTTGGGGCCGCCGACGCCCCCTGAAATACACATATTCCCATTCTTTTAAGTCACAGACCTGCGCTAGGTCTCATTTTATAGAAAATTTTACGATAAACATCCGTAAATTCAAAAATTCAGGAACATGTCAATTTTTGCACTTTTTACGAACACTTCAAATTGAGCTGTGGTGCCGGGAAATCGTCCTGGAGAGGCGTCTATAGCAATAGATTGGAAAGTTTGATATGCTTTCAGTTGCTCACCTTCCGCTTTGCCCGATTTCTCAAGTGTTTTCGAGTTATTTAAGATTTTTTGGGGAAAAACGTGATTGTTTACGTGCTCATGGATAAAACCGATCAATCTCTCTCCCGATTTTACCATACATAAACCTAGACAACCGAGACACTCCAGTTCCTGGTATCTCTCTAACAGGGGCACAACGAAAGGGTCGATGTTCGATGGATGACCTGTCACGGACAGCTGAATCCGCGCATCCCAGCATCCTAGTATCCTACACCTGCATCCTAGCATTGTCATCACCTTATTTGTTTAACAAAATAGTTACACTTGTATATAACTCCTCCACCCTTAGAGAGAGCTTCCCTGGAAGCTCGTGGAAGAGAAAAATATACAGGGTGTGCTTATTTTGTTTTAAACTGCGATCTGTTACTGACTCTCTGCTTTATATGTATTCTGTGTCGATGTCCTAAAATGTCAGTCAAAACCTCAGGATATCAAATACAGAATAGATAAAAGGCATTGAATACATTCGTATACAAACTTATAAGTCAGATTACATTCACTCCCCCAGAGGACTCAACATTCCCTCAGGGGGTGATTGAACCAACTCCATTCTCGCTAATAAGTCACTTTTATTCTCCAGACGCCACACAGATCTCCAGATCTCACCCCAGTACACTCGATATTCCTCGGAACGGAGGTAAACAACCCCTTTCTTTCATTCTAATAAATTATATTATTTTCTATAAATTGGCATAAACACAACACCTGATACAAACAACAAATATCTGTTCACATTCATCCCCCAGAGCAGATGGAATGTCCATGAGAAGATTTGTTTAATGGAATAATGGATCTTCCGGAACTCCAATTTAATTACAGGCAATCCTCATATTAAAAAATATACCATATTTATCAGAAAGTACAAAAATTGTTTAAAAGAAAGTAGAAAAGACGCCTAATTCATGTTTACTATACGACAACTCTGGCTATTACTCATAACGTAAAGTGAAAAAAAATCCAAAAAATCGCACAGGCCTCAGTATAAAATTTCACGTTTTTTCTTACCAAATTTTTATAATATATGTGTGTTGGTTAGTGACCGTTAATCGATAATTATTCAGAAATTGTGAGATNTTTTTTTCAAAAATCTGAATACTTCTACTATGATTTTCACAGTTTTTTCATGTTGAAACAATTCAGCATATAATTGAGAATTCGTGGGTAAAAGGCGTTTAATAATACGTGAAAAATTGTAAGCCTAACTAGAAATCGTTGTCAAGCGTCAGACGTGTTCGGCTCAAAGGACAAATCTTGGTCATATCCACCATAATTGGTAAACCGTGAAAGGATAAACCGACGCACTCCCCTGGCGATACGTGATCCGACTCCAGATACCGATCGTCGTCTTCCTTATTATTTCCGGCATTTCTGCATTTTGGAACAAGCGCTCTGTTTGCAAAACGCATACTTTCCGCCTTAAACACCACAAAACCCGCTATTTTTTAAATATGAAAATCATAATATTCGCCAGACGCCGGTGAGTCCTCGGAGAAGGACGAAGGATTGAAAAGTGGGGAAAGCCACGAATCCTCTCTTAACGCTTTTCGCATAAAACGAGGCGAATGGAAAAACGGGAGGTCATTAGTCACCTCGTCTGACGACTCCTCGTCTTCAATTCAAACAAAATGAACACGGTAAGTCTTTCAAGGGTTAAAAGTAATTTGTAATTATTCTCAGCTCTGACAATGACAATAGTCGACCTCTCAAGGCTAAACTTAACGAAATTACAGGGCGAGTTAGCGGCAAAATTCCCATTGTCAATTTCTTATTTAAAAGGCACGGTTTGACAATGGAGTGTTGATTAATCCAACCACCCACCGCTCGACTAGACTCGGCAAACAATTATTGTACGACACGTACAATACGCCAGATCGATTCGATGAAATTCATAAAGCGATCCGGATTAGAAAGATAATCCAACAATAAATAATACAATATAACAATAAATGTCTGTATAATAATTCACCATCTTCACTAGTGGTTTTGAGACGTTGTTGAGTTTGAAGAATAGATTTTCTACTGGACTCGGACGAACCCACCGCTCTTTCAGACAACACAACCATGTAGACCAGTGGTTCCCAAACTATTTTGACCCATGGACCCCTTTTTATAGTCAAACCTTGCCCCTGGACCACCAAGTGAAAAAGCTACACAAATCCATAGTATAAAAATTACAATTTTTTTTTTTACTTCATTTATTTGTGTCTACAACTGTACGTGTATTATATACAACCAGCAGATTGGATTTCAGATTACAGTCAGCCCTCCTATAACACGGTGAGTGCGTACCGCGTTATATGGAAACCGCGCTATAAGAAACTCGGAATTAGTACAAATCACATCATTCGTACCGCGTTATATGGAGACCAATAAATACAAAAGACAAGATAAATTATGAATTATTTTTATTGAATTGAAGAGTTCATATAAGGATTGATAAAAAAAAAATGAAACAAAAACTAAACTAAAAGACTGTTTTCCAACAAAAACAAGAAAGACTTTTGTAAAATTATTTATTTTTCAACACTCATCCTTGCTGTCAGATATGAGTCGCCTAACTCGTCTTCTTTTAATGGGCAAAATGTCTTCCTCACTTGGTTCTTCTTCACATTGGTTTTCGATCGTAGCTTTTTTTTCTAACTCCACTTATAGGGAGCTCTCTATAGGGAGCTAAGCAATTTCTTAACTCTCTTTTAAACTTTGCACTGCGCACCGTTGAACGATCAGTTTGAATGAAATGAAGTTGTAATTCTTTAGCCAAATTTAGCCCTTTTTTCACATCTTGTAAATCGAGATTAGAAAGACTTGGTCACCAACAAAACATATGTACTGTGAAAGATCTCTGAGATGACTGAAACACACGGCTATGAGATAAGCTAGCATGTTTATATAAACATATTGTTTATGTATCTCGGCTGTGCTTTTGCGTGGAAAATAAAACTTACATTAAAACCTCTTACAATATTTAGTTACTAGAGTCATTCATAGGCTGTGTGGAAGGGACATGGGATTCTGTTAAACGGAAACCGCGCTGTAAGAGTACCGCGTTATGGGAGGGCGTCGCAATTTCAGCTCCGCGTTCTGAGAGTACCGCGTTATAGGAGGGTTGACTGTATATGTTTGGCATTATGGGCGTTATAGAGAAAGCTACCTATTGGCAGCCGCTCTGGATTAACGAAATGATATTAATCATTTAAGAAGTCTCTTATCCATATTCTTTTCAGACGTTTACTTGGTAATTGTGGGGAATGGAGTAATCGTATTTGTGTGTTGGTGTGATTTTGTAATTTACTATCAAAACTGTAATATGTTTTGATGGATGACAAAACTGTTGGGATTTGAAGATCTCTGTGAACTTTTTTGTGTTTATTGCTTACATAAAAAGGGGCAGAAACAATTAGTCATCAAATTTTGGATTGAAAACTTTGTAATCTTTGAATATTGGAACACTTCGCCGATTCATACACTTGGCACCCGTACATCCAAATAGGTTTGAGTAGGTATGTGTATGTCGAAAGTTTTGATTTTAATGGTAATTTTGATTGGTGGTTCAATAGGCAATAAAGCATTTTAAATCGTTATGTCGAAAGTTTTGATTTTAATGGTAATTTTGATTGTCGGTAGAGTAGGTAATAAAGAATTTTAAATCGTTTGTTCAGTGTCTGTTTTTTTAATCGTGTGTGTGGATTCCATGTTAGTCTTCTATCTAATAGTCCTAAATAGTTAACTATGTCGGATTGAGGAACAGGTTCAGTGCATAAGTATATGTACAAGTCTCACGATGGAGTGTAAAGGTGATATGTTGTGACTTTGAGGGATTAAACTTTATTTTCCAAAGGTTGCTCCATTTTTCAATTGTTGATCTGTAACATGAGTGAAGCTTGTGTAGAAGAGAGATGGCTTGTTAATATGGTGTCATCTGCGTATGTGGCGGTGAGTGCATTCTCATTTGTGGGCATATCAGGAGTAAAAATTGTGTACAACAGCGGAGCGAGTATTGACCCTTGTGGCACACCTGCAAGCACTTCTTCCATCCCAGAAGTCTCCGTATCCTGGTTTACTGCGAAAAATCTCTCTTTAAGGTATGATTGTATAATCAGATAATAGGCCTGGGGTAAAAATAATTTTAATTTGTATAATAATCCCTCATGCCATTCTTTGTCGAAGGCCTGAGAAACATCTGCACTCCAGTCGCGTACAGTTTCTGCTGGAGACACGAAGTAATGAAATCAGTCACTCTGTGAAGTTGATGAGTGGTGGAATGATGGGTTCGAAAGCCAAATTGTTGTTCGAAAGATGTTGTTCGAAGTAGCAATAGAGATAATTCTTTTGTAAATTAATTTTTCGAATAATTTAAAAGGAACGGGTAACAAACTAAATAGGACGATAAGACGATGGGGAGCTTAAATTTTTATGGGGCTTTGGGATCATTTTAATGTAAGAAAGTTTCCATTGTATGGGGAAGTGTGTAGTCCTCAAAATTGCGTTAAATAAAGAAGTCAAAAAGACGACTGCTTTTTTGGGAAGTTCTTGAAGAACTTCAGCTGTTATCAAATCATGACCAGGTGATTTTTTTGTAGGAAGCTGTCGTATTTCTTGTGACACTTGTTTTGGAGTTATTGATTTAGGTGGCAGATCTAGGGGCATAGGTATTACAAGTGAATCTGATATAAATTTATCGTGTTCAGTATTCATTATGTTATGAGGTTTGAATACCTCGGAGAGATGTTTCGCAAATGTTTTGGACTTTTCTTTATCGGAAACGATCCAAGTTCCATCATCATTCCTGAGAGGAGTTGAGACAACGCTATGACGCAGGATACGTTTAAAAATTACAAATTAAAAAAAATCTCATCATTCATGAATTCATTAAGTGATTAATTTTTTTTTAATTTCAATAAATACTTCTTCAACAAATTGTTGTTTTTTTTTTTTTTTTTTTTTATTACAAATTTTTAAAAAAAATTTGTTGAAGAAGTATTTATTGAAATTATAAGTTTTGTTTAAAACGAAATTTTAAAAAAATTAATGACTTGATGAATGTGATGAGATGTTTTGAGTGTATTTATGTCCGGCTCAATGTTTGTGAATAGCAACCGCAAATCCCAACGAACACCAATTTCTAGACTTCACCAATAGTGTACGGTTTTCCGAGCTTTGCAATTAATAAAGAAATGTTATTAGAAGCACGCAGTCCATCATCATCTCGCTTAGATGTTTTCCTTATGAGTTGTTGCAAGACGGTGTTTTCAAATATTTTTCTTTGACTATTTGAAGAAATGTTAAATCCTTACATTTTTTGTCCCTATGGATTTTTATTAAATGTTCCTTAAGCTTGGAAGGTTTCATTGAATCATTTGATATACTAAAGTACTATTTCCTGATAATGAAATAAAGCCATATTTCAAATATTCAACACAGTTAATTAAGGTTTTTAGTTGAGATAAAAAAGTCAATGGGACGAGCGGGATTCGAACCCACGATCTTCAATTCAAAAGGTGGGGTTGAGATGGGAAGTTGGTGTCCGAGTGGATCGAGGTCACGATAGCTCAAGTGGTAGAGCAGCGGCGTATCTAGCCGAAGGTCGTGGGTTCGAATCCCGCTCATGACACTGACTTTTTTATCTCAACTAAAAACCTTAATTAATTGAAAGATATTAATTGGTCAAGTCGTCTATAAGTTTTCTTTGTAGAGTAGGAAGTAAATTTGGTTAAAGCAAGAACTCATTGGAACCCCCTCCGTTTAGGGCTTGCATATCTTCTGATTCCTAACCCATCACAGTACAAGAAGAAATATCACAATGTGTAATTTTTATTAAGTGGTTGAATACATTGGTAAATTTAGCTCAGTAGAAATTGCAGTCGTTGAAATTTTAGTTCGATCGTTATCGGTAATCCTCGTCTGTCTATCCTCGCTGATTTGGTGATTTAGATGTATTTCAGCATTTCACCATCATTAGTGGTTATATTGTATCTTCTTTAAACAATTAAAAAGAGGGAGGTTGATATTTCAAATAATAAATTATTAAGTGCTAAAATTGATATTTTAGTCGTTTCCGATCACCCTGGTCCTCTATCCTCGCTGTACCTTCTGAGATGTATCAATTTTTGTTATATTATTAATAAAGTTAACGAAATATAAGTTGAACTATCATTAAAAATATGGTTTGATCTTTTAGACTCATGTCGCCATTTCGTTATATATCGATCTGTGAAATTTACATGTGTAAGTCCCTTTTTAGATGCTAATGACTTCAGACAGATCAAATCTGCAAGGATGGGTAAACTAGAATGGCTTGAATTTTTATATTTTTTTAGTTTGGTCGTTTCCGGTCATTTTGTACTGCCTATCCTCACGCTGGTGGTCTGTCAGGCGATAAGCTTTTCACCATCTTCAGGTTGGGTGCGTTTACCGTCTTAGGTAGGCCGTCCACTGGAGCCGTTTTCGGCCGAACTTGCTCGGCCGTTGCACGGCCGAATAGGGCCGGATGATCCAAAAGCGAAGAAACGAATGAGCACGCGTCCATTAGAACAAATTCGTTCGGTCGTGTTGGGCCGTGTACAGCCGAAGCACTTTCCGATCCAAATAAAGTTGGATTTTCCAGTCCTATTCGGCCGAATGGTTACTTCTACTTCAACTGTCAACTACGTGACATCAAACGCTCACCATTGTTTAACGCCTTTCTTTGCTTTTTGCTTACCTTTTCGTTTCGTTTTCATTTCGATGGATTGCGAAAAATTGATAAGTGCGGTTGAGGAGCGGGCTCTTAGGACATGCGTGATCCACTCTATCATCGGAGAGATGTCCAGCGTAAGCTGTGGTCAAGGATAGCTTTAGAAATGGAACTTCCAATATTTTTGTTTATTTCTTTCATTCCATTTGTATGTCATCTAAGAATTTTCAAGCAGCAACAAATCTTCTACATCCATTTGGGCTGTGTCGTGAACTGACGAAAATCGGCTACAGTAGACGACGGTGTTCGGCTATATTGCGTTTGGTCAAATAGTTCGGCTGTTGAACGGCCGTCGTAATTCGGTTCCAATGGACGAGCAGCCTTAATGTGCATTCTTAGATGCTAATAGCTTCTGACCAGACCAAATCGCCGAGAATAAGTAAAGGATAAAGAAAGTACTAGGATGGCTGGACCGCTTATATTGTTGAGGTCATTTTGGACTGTTTAACCCCGTTCTTAAGTTAGCCTTTTCTGTTAGCCTTTTCACCATCCTCAGAAGGTGGTCTGTAGGTTATCTAGCCTACACCAATAAAATATTTTATCTTTTTAAAGGTTATAATTGCTATAGACAGGGCGAACCAGCGAGTATAAACAGAATTGAAACGAGCACGTTGCTTCAGTGGTGGTTCTGTGCGATTTCCCGCCTTTATGTATTTTTTATAGGAGGTAACGACTTCCGACACATAAAATCAGCATGTGTATTCACACTCATCACTGGAGATAACTGAAAACCTAAACGTGCTGCGGCAGATCATAAGAGTGAGGCAGACCAAAATTGACAATTATGTTGCCTTCTGACCAAGTTAAAAATTTTTGGTCTGCCCATCCTCACCCTAATGATCTGTCAGATGCATTTAGGTATTCTGCCATCTTCAGCGGTGGGTCTGTGCGTTTTCCCGTCTTTATGTCTTACCGTTGTAAGGCATTGTAGTGGCCAACTGTAGTTACCACGTTACCGCCAGATGCCACTACCACTTATGGAATGTTCTCGCCCTCCACTCTGCAGCCAATCTGAGTAGAGCCCTTCCAAATATAAGCAGGCGCACTGCCCCACTGAAATCGGACTCGTCATCCTGACGAGGTCTCATCCAACACTAAAGGTCAACGACACCACACTCGTCGACACGACGAGGTCTCACTCATCACTAATCAACAACAGCAGACTCGTCAACCCGACGAACTCTCACAAATCACTAATGGAACATCGTCGACGACAGCAAGGGTACTCGCAGCAATAGCCTGATTAGACAGACTATAAATGCCAACTGCTGCCCTTCGGCGCGAGTCCCTTCGGCCACTGTGGACTGTGGAGTCAATCGACTCACGGCCCCCGGACCTCAGCCAACGGTTTACTCGGTAACAGACCACCACCAACTGTACCACTAACGATCCATCGTCTCGATGCTACGAAACAACACCGTCCCTTTTCAGGGCCACAAAACTCCGTCACTAAAAGCATAAAACCTTGCATTCTCTTCGTAAATAATAAAATATTAATCCGGTATTGTTTCAATACGCTCCGTTGTCGCATGAAATTTTTCTAATAAACTTGAAAGGTACCAACTCGGTCAAATCTTGTTAAAATTGCAGCCCTGCATTCGAACCCGACATACTTACAAATTGGCTTTAACTCCGGCACCCAAGGGTTGAAATGACCTCTGCCGTTGCGAACCATCGTAAAAACAGTTGCGATTTATCTAATCTAGGGATGCGTTATTCTCTTCTTCCGTTTTCGCCTTGTCGGCGAGGATCCGGTTAACAGAAGTACAGAACCCGGGTCACGTATGCGTGCAGATCGCGGCGGGCCTACGTTATTACTTAGTTAAACCACCTTCGTATCACACACACGCATATAATAGTAGTTTCAGGATAAAAAAAGAAAGAGTTGTTAAAGGAAATGGAATTTTTACTATTGTAAAAAGCTATACGAAGGGAAGGCAAATTAAAATTCTTTTTCAAATAAAAAGAGATGTCTTACCATCGGTTCTTTTTATATATCCCCTCTTATGTACAATGATTTTAATTTTAAAACTAACTTCTTTTTCGGAAAAGTCTGTGCGTTCTGTTTAAGCACCAAACTCTAACATTTTAGCAATTTTTCAAACTCATTTTGTTGTCAAATAGAGGCCAAAAAATTTTCAATTTTTCAATACAATTTTCTCCAATTCTAGAGTTTGTTACGGCCTTTCATTAGTAAACTACGGATCTGTAGTTAGGGAATTTGAAAAATAATGATCCGTTATTATTATAATAATTAAACTTATTAACTGAGGCAGCAGCCTAAAGTTTTGTTCTTTTTGTGCTTATACATTTATTTCTCAGCTCCTGGATGTATTTTAAACATCTAGCTCCGTACAACTGTCTGCCTGTTGTTGATCTACTAAATTAAAACAGAATTGTTTCAAAAAATTGAACAGTTTTGCAGAAAAGTCGACCGAAAAGTAAAAAATATAATCGACGGTCAGGTTTTACTAGTTGCAGGATTACAAGTTCAACAACTTTCGGGAAAAAACGGGATAAATCTACTATTTAACGAAAAATATAAATTTTCGGGAGAAAAGATTATCTTATCCAACTCGACTTTTTCCAATTGCCATCCAATTTCGGTTTCACTTTGAAAGATAATATTTTTTTTAACAAGATTATATGTAAAAAACCCTTACGGATTGCTAGTTTATCAAGACAAGATACACCTGAGTACTTGATTCTCAACTTTCAAAATATTGTTTGAAACATTCCTAAAGCTAGGAAAATGCATATATAAAACTTTTTTTTTATTTTAATTTCCTGTTGTCCCATTTTTTTAAGCACTTTAGCCATGAAGTGGTTTTATTAGCCAGTTTTTAAATGCATATATAAAACATATTTTTTTACATTTTAATTCCCTATTGTCTCAGTAATTTTTTTAAGCATTGAAGTCATGGATATTTCAAGTGGTTTGATTATCCAGTTTTTAAATGCATATATAAAACATATTTTTATAGATTTTAATTCCCTATTATCTCAGTAATTTTTTTAAGCATTGAAGCCATAAATATGTCAAGTGGTTTTATTAGCCAGTTTTGAAATGCATATATAAAACATATTTTTATAAATTGTATTTTCCTGTTGTCTCATTTTTTAAGCATTGAAGCCATGGATATTTTAAGTGGTTTTATTATCCAGTTTTTAAATGCATATATAAAACATATTTTTATAAATTTTAATTCCCTGTTGTCTCACTAATTTTTTAAGCATTGTGGCCATGAATATGTCAAGTGGTTTTATTAGCCAGTTTTTAAATGCATATATAAAACATATTGTTTTTGTTTTTAATTTCTTGTTTCTCATTTTTTAAGCACTTTAGCCATGAAGTGGTTTTATCAGCCCATTTTAAAATGCATATATAAAAATATTTTTATACATTTTAATTCCCTGTTGTCTCAGTAATTTTTTTAAGCATTATGGCCATGAATATGTAAAGTGGTTTTATTAGCCAGTTTTTAAATGCACATATAAAACATATTTTTATAAATTGTAATTTCCTGTTGTCTCATTTTTTAAGCATAGAATGCCATGAATATGTCAAGTGGTTTTATTAGCCAGTTTTGAAATGCATATATAAAACATGTTTTTATAAATTTTAATTTCCTGTTGTCTCATTTTTAAGCACTTTAGCCATTAATATGTCAAGTGGTTTTATTAGCCAGTTTTGAAATGCATATATAAAACATATTTTTATAAATTGTAATTTCCTGTTGTCTCACTAATTTTTTAAGCATAGAATGCCATGAATATGTCAAGTGGTTTTATTAGCCAGTTTTTAAATGCATATATAAAACATATTTTTATAAATTTTTAATTTCCTGTTGTCTCACTAATTTTTTTAAGCACTTTAGCCATGAAGAACTCTTGTCAACATCGGTTGACCTGAACTAACTGATAATTTTTCCAACAAATCATATTATGTATTTTGAGTTATGTTTATCAAAGTTGTCGTACTATATGCCAGATGTTTTAAATTACAATTTTTTGTAGATAATTGCTATCGCACTTTTGACTGTGTCTGCAACTGCACAATTTGAACAAGCATATCCACAATTATTCGTTGTGAATGTCCAACCTTCTCAGTTGATATCAAGAACGGAAGTGAGGGACGATGCCGGCCAATTTGCTCTCAGGTAAGGCATGTTGAAAAGAAATAAATAAAATTTGTGATAAATTTAATAATTTCAGTTACCGCACAGCAGACGGAACTGTCGTTAATGAACAAGGCTTGCTGAAGTCAGTTGGAGCCGGTAACCAAGTTTTGGTGAAACAAGGGTCTTTTGCATTTCTCACTCCAGAAGGCATTCCAGTTCAGCTCAAATATATCGCTGATGAAAATGGATTTCAGCTGGTTTAAAACCACCTGTCTAGAGATTCAGCTATATTGAGATATATAAAAATAAATATCATTGTGCGAATCTTATTATTTTTTAAAACCTATCAATTTTGAACAATCTCTAATTAAACGCTATTATTTTTAAAACATATTTTTGTGCCAGTTTTTCTTTTTTAAGTCACAAGTAAAATAGTTTAGATGTAGCAGAGTATATTCACCTGCTATCTGTTGGTAGAAAGCTGGGATTCAAGGGTGGGTCCTTTGATCAATAACATGTGAAGAAGGGCAATGTGAAGTTTCCCTGGTTTCTGTTGATGTTTCCCCGTCCCATAACTACTACTGCAGACCTGCTGACAATAATTAACACTTTAAGATAGTAAATAAATGTGACACAGGTGAGTTGAATTTATGGATCCTGATCGAGAATGGCGTATAACGCAAACAGTGTCCAGTCATAAGGCCTAACATCACAGCGTACATTTGTACAAAATTGTTTCTGTATCATATCACGTATCATATGTATATAATAATCAGGCTTAATTCTAGGATGGGAGAGGGTCTCCATGATAGGGGGGCAACAATCTTGCAGATCCTCCCAATTTTTAATATTACATGGGAAGAAGGGCCTTTCAATTATACCACATATTTAGGAATAGGTGAGTACATTTTCAAATATAAATAGGGAGTTTAATCAATTCATCCTACTCTGCATAGTCTCACCAATTTGGTCTGTTAGATAAGTGTCAGCACTTTGATATATTAAGTTCATTTTACCTAAATTTCAAGATTTTAAGTACGATCACTAGTGCTAACAAAATTGCCATATAAACATAATTAAGAAGAGCATAAGGGAGGGAGGGAGAGAGAGAGAGAGAGAGAGAGAGAGAAAAAGAGGGTGAGAAAGTGAGAGATAGATTGATAGATAGAAAGCTAGATAGGGAGATAGATATAAAGATATACGTAGATAGAAATGGGGAAAGAGAGAGAGAGAGAAAAAGGGTGAGAGAGAGAGATAAAAATAGCTAGAGATGGGGAGGGAGAGATAGATACATAGATAAATATAGATAGATAGAGAGAGCAAGAGGGTGAGAGAGAGATAAAAATAGCTAGAGATGGGGAGGAAGAGATAGATAGATAGATAAAGATAGATAGATAGATAGATAGATAGATAGAGAGAGAGAGAGAGAGAGAGAGTGTGTGAGAGAGAGATAAAAATAGCTAGAGATGGGGAGGGAGAGATAGATAGATAGATAAAGATAGATAGATAGATAGAGAGAGAGAAAGAGAGAGAGAAAGAGGGTGAGAGAGAGATAAAAATAGCTAGAGATGGGGAGGAAGAGATAGATAGATAGATAAAGATAGATAGATAGATAGATAGATANGAGTAAAAGTAATTTATTAGCGAGAGTGGAGAGGGTTCAACCCGCCACGAGGAATATCAAGTACTCTGAGGTGAGTGTATGACGTCTGGAGAGTAAAAGTAATTTATTAGTGTGAAAGGAAGGGGTTGCTTATAACCCCGCCATGAGGAATGTGAAGTACTCTGGGGTGAGTGTATGATGTCTGAAGAGTAAAAGTAATTTATTAGCGTGAAAGGAAGGGGTTGCTTATAACCTCCCCCAGAGTACTCTATATTCGATATGTATTGTATGTTTTGTTTCTATTCTGTATTTGACAACCTAAGGTACAAATGAGAGACTAGCATTCTAGAATATCAATGTAGTATATATCTGAAATCAGAGAGTCACTAACCAGATCGAGACGCTCAAATGGCTGCAGTGTAAAACAAAATATGCGCGAAAGAAAAGAAAAAGAAGGAAAACACGCAGAGGGCCGGCGACAACCTCAGCTGTTTGTCAGCCCATAAACTTCCCACTTATATATATAAAGGGAGAGTGAGGCTGGTAGGATGAACGATAACTAGAAAGCCAAGTTTTTTGTTTTATTTTTGTTACAGCTCTGTTTTTGAACTTGCTTTAATGAGAAATGAAACTCAAAAAATTTTACAACCACAATAACACTAAATATAATCTATGTATTTATTTTATATAACTATATTTGGTGATACTTCTGACAGAATCAATTAGTATGCTTTGAAACTTCAAAGGATTGCCATTTACTATAATAATAATAAAATTTAAAAAAATTTTGGTTGGATATATAACATTGTGATCGATTCAAAGTACATTTTATATAATAAAACAATATATGTTGTTCCTAACCATCCCTATAATATGAATAATAAAAAAACAGGAGCGTTGGTGGCCGCAACAGTTTTGGCATTGACACGGCACTCATCACTGTAAAGTAAAAGTTCCACGTTCAAATCCAACGGCCTGCATTTGAACCCGACATACTTACAAATGTTTTTGTTTTTTTCAAAAATACCAGCACCCTGAGTGTTGAAAGTAGCAATAATAAAAAACACGTACAAAAACACAAGACTTCAAATAAATTATTTTTTTAAATATTTAAGAGTAAATGTCCTTTAACAATTAAGCAAATGCTACACACAAAATAAATAAATAAATTTAATTAGACAGTAGAGTTAATAACCATACTGAACAGCGTAAACAATTGCATTATACCCAAAGATGCTTTATGGAAAAGATATACAATCCTATATTAACACATAAATATTATTGCATTTATTTTGGTTTTATAAAATAGTACAAGTGAATTAATAAATTTGATTGAATCATTACAGGTAGTTTAGGTTGGTGTGACACATGGAGGAATCCACAACACCTTATATTCCAGCTGGCGAACGCATGTTTTTTCATCTCATACCTTACTCCTTCAACTAAAAAGGGAATCATTTTTATGCATGCAGTATTAGTATTAGGTGATTCTAAAAAAAGACAAGCATGTAATATTATTAAGTTTAATGAAATTTTAACAGAAATATTTGTCTTAGGGTTTTTTATATTCTCCACCTGGGCTTGGGTTATTGTATGCGCTCCTGACATATTTTTCTGGAGTCTGTGTTACACTTTTATAAACATATGCCAATTAGTCTTTCTTTTGTACCAATTAAGGCCAGTGAAATTTGACCCCGAGTTGGAAGAAGCATATCACACGTTGTTTGTGCCATTTAAGGTAGAGTCAGCGGCCGAAAGATTTTTGAAGTTATTTAACATAAGAATTGTCTCTAGGTTTCAAGGATCCAATTCAAAAAGCTGATAAGCAACGACATGGCTCAAATTATGTCTCTGCACGCTGGCGAGGCTTACGCATTACAAAACTTAACAAGGACTGATAGACTGGGCCTGCTCCTATCCGGGAAATTAAACGTTCTATGTGATAGCCACTTTCTGCATCCGATACTTGCGTGCGAATTTTTAGACTCGCCCGAGTTCGAGAGCAGAGCAAATATGGACGATAAATTTAAGGTGACAAAACAAATACTATTTTTAACAAGGACAACATCATGATAAGAAATAAAATTAACATCAACTCGTCGGAAGACACATTAGCACGGAATGTAGACTTGCATGCAAACTTCCTGTCATGCACACCTAATTTACCAAACGCAACTCTCCACTGATATGGAAATTCAGCAAAATCAATTCAACACAACGGCCTATTGCGAAACAACTTTATCACACCACAATATTACTTTAATAAAAATAAACAACCTCACCTAATTAATTTTAAAAAATACATAATTAGACAATATATAATATATTAAAATATTTCTTAGGTTTCAATTGTAGCAGCTACTTCATGCAGGTACCTTTACTGGCAGAGAACCTCGTTAGAATATTTATTCGTCAAGGAGACATACTTGGCAACTGTGATGTCAACTTTAATAGCAAGAGATATAACGACAAAGCTGTACGCAATGAATAACAAGGTGAAGTTATTGAATATTCTGAAAAAACATCCAGTCATTGACAACTCATATATTTACAGATTGTTACAGAAAAAGGGTACCACCTTGATATAAGGCTTCCGAGTATCACATCATCGCTAACAAGCACTGATCACAAAAGCCCAACATTGAAAGCTTTAAAAAAGCATACATCGGTATTGTCGGGCTCACAGCCGAATTCGCCTGAATCGGGTAATTTAAAAATTTGGAATATTGTAAACGTGTTAAGTTAGTCTAATGGATTTCCCAAACTTTATGAATAGTTAATGCCATTGAAATCAAGGTTGAAAAAAATGGGCTCAAATAAAGTGCAATCCATACGAGAAAAAAATCCCTCGGCGACTCAGGACTCTCAGATTTGATGTTTAAAAAAGGATGAAAAAAAAATGTTTAGTATAAAACTTTTTAGACCAATTTGTTTTAAAATTAAAATTGATTTCGAGGATATAAATGTTCAGAAATTGAAGGTCAGTACAAGGTAAAATTTTGTTGCACGATGCTGAGTATTTTAGCAAACTTATTAAGACTTGGCTTCTTGCAATGGAAATCACACATATGCTCAATTAATTTAGAGAAATTCTATGAAAAAATGAAATACACACACTAAATTATAAAATTTAAGTGCACCATTAAAACTAAACAGTTATAACTTAAGCAACCCAAGCACTTTTTCAATTTATAAATTATAAGGCATGTCCAGTATAAAAACTGCACTGGCATTTAATAATTTCATACTTTTATTTTTTTATTTTATTTTTTTTTTAATGTCCATCTTAGATTCACATACAAACATTCTTACTCAACAATTTGGCTTCCAACCCCGTCATTTCATATCCAAGTCTTGATACCATTCGCTTCAAGAAAATTGGTTGGAGTATTGCTCGGGTGAGTTCCTAGATACAGCTCAGGCTTTTGATGGATTCCTTTATATATTTATTTGGTCCTGTTTAACTGAAGGCTTCTTCAGAGTGAAGTGTGGCCATGAATACTCAAATATCAGACTGGCATTCAAGAAGGAAGCATTGTCGGTGAAATCCTACATACCGTTTATGCTGCTGACTTCCCTACAGATTCCGTCTCTTCTAAACCGAATCCAATCCAAGCAATCTCCAACTTTAGTTTAGCAAAAGCTGAAAAGTGAAGGACAAGACCGGAAGAGGAAAAATGTTCCCAGTGTACATTGAAAAAACAATAATCAACAGACAACAAATAGATACCAATTTCCAGTTAGATACTTAAGCTATACCTAGGCAGCAAACTAATGCGGAACTCCACACAAGACTTAAAAGAACAACTCAACAGAAGATTGGACAACTATGAAGATTTCTAAGGCCAAATCCATCCTGGCACTAAACTAACCTTATACAAGATGTTACTGTGATCGTATTTAAAGTGGAAGAGTCGGGTTTAGCCAAGCCATCAATATCCTACTATGTCACTAACCTCACTATCCACAACAACCTCAACATTCTTTTTATCAACAAAACTGATTTCATCCCTCTTCCAAAGGTTTCCACCAAGTCCTCAATCCATCCTAACCTAAACAATGTTCAAGAAACAAACAAATCTCACACCTCATTCTCTCAAACTGAATGCCAGCATTAGCTGGTTTCTCTTAGCCAGTATCCTCTGGGTGCAGTGCTGGACGTAGTGTCTATGTTGTGACCATAACAAAAAAAGCCTCATACACACATATTTGTAATATGTATTTTGAATAGACAGTCTACAAATTAATTATTTATTGAAAAAAATACATATATATTTTTTCTTGCATTTATGTGGGGTAAGTTAATGTTTTTGTTTTTGTTTGCAGTCTACAGTAGCCGGGAGCAATTGTTTAAAGATAAGGTTCTTCCCGTTGTTCCTAATGGTAGAGTGGTTGAGTTGGTCCCGCTGAAGGAGATGCCATCTGCTGAAGAACTGGGCTCATCGGCTGAAGTTGAATCATGGCTTGAAACATCTTCTAAATATCACAGTTGTGAAATTGTGGATTCTTAAAGCAATGCTTTTTACATATTAAACATGTCTATAAATTGTATATAACATTATTATCTTTATAATATATCTTTATAATGATTTTTTAAATAAATTTTAAATTAAAATTTTGGTTTTTTGTATAATTTTTTCATCCCTCTCTTACCAAAACTCACTTAAAATTTACTGATGAAGTGAGTTTTTTTGAATTATTATACATCCAACATGCATTCAGGGTATGGAAAAAATGAAATGAATGTATAAAACAAATAAATTAACCAGTAAATCAGTATATCTCTCGTGAAAGAGGTATTTCTTGTAGAGGCAATAAATTCTGGTGATCGTAAGCAGATATTGATTTTTGTACACTTGGGAGGGGCAAGTTACATGTCTAAGCCGACCTATGTTATTATTCAACTCAAGGTGTATTGTCTCATTCTACTTGGTCTACATGCACCAAACAAAGTGAATTTGCATTTTTAAATGTGATTTTAATTTTAGTCGAATAATAAAGCAATGGTTTGCTCAGAAACAGACCGGATTAGTTCAGTTGTGATTTGAAGGTTTCCATACATACAAACATCAGGTTAATAGGAAATTTAATCAAATTAAATTTGAAGATTGTGTGGATTTAAAGAGTTAAACTGTGTTCTTATATAGTGAACTCAAGCTATTTCACATTTCAGATGTCGTTTTGAATGATTATAAGGGGTGAAGTGAATACACCAAAAATGGACATATTATAACATTGTTTGTAATATTGGCAAATAAAATGTTTTATAACTGGATATGAGGTAAGTTTTATTATGTTATTCATAGAAATAATACTTGTCCAAACATCAAGTTGAACGATAATGCTGATTAATGCTCTGAAGAAGCTGTTAAAGTATCTTCAGTATGTCTTAATTTATCTAAAACAATGCTAGTATAGACAAAAATTGTTTTATTAATATTAAATATATCTTAGCTGGGAAAAAAATATAAAATTGGTTCTTATAAAACTGGTTTTTATAAACGGTGAAGATAAACACTCAAAAAATTGTTACCAGCACAAAACATTACTTAAGACCTTATTTTTTAAAATATAATTTAAACATTAACCTTAAATGTGTGGTGATTAGTGACCGTTAATCGATAACGGTATTCAGAAATCGTGAGATGTGGTCTGGTGTGATGTAGGTTTCAGAAAAACATTTTCTTTATTGTGCCAACGTTTCGATCTTTATTAAGATCATCATTGTAAATCCCAGGCCCTGAAGATGATCTCAATAAAGATCGAAACATTGGCACGATAAAGAAAATATTTTTCTGAAATCTACATCACACCAGACCGCATCTCACGATTTCTGAATAATTAACCTTCAATAAAAAATTAAAAAAAGATTAGACAATAAATGTTTAATATATTTCAAACATTAAATAAATTTTGTACTTACCTAGAATCATTTCAATATTGTGCAAATATTGAAATATTTTTCACAAATTAAAGTTATTTAGGTAAAAGTACTTATAGTACAATTAATTAAGATTTTTAGTTGAGATGAAAAAGTCAATGGCATGAGCAAGATTCGAACCCACAATCTTCGGCTTGATACGCCGCTGTTCTACCACTTGAGCTCTCGTGACCTCGATCCACTCGGACACTAACTTCCTTTTGAATTTTCCCTTCTTAGTACTTATAATATTATAATCAAATGAATTTCTATGTTAATCCTTAAAGATAACATTTCATTCACATTGTTTTTTTAATGTAAAATGTTATTTCAACTAGATTAAAAAAATGGTATTTTTTTAAATCGGATTTTAAACGGTGAATATAAACACTCAAGAATTGTTACCCACCCCAAAAAAAAATTACTTAAAAACTTACTTTATAAAATATTATTTAAACATTAACTTTAAATAACAAATTAAAAAAAGATTAAACGATAAATGTTCAATATATTTCAAACTTTAAATAAATTTTGTGCCTACCTAGAATCATTTCAATATTTTGCAAATATTGAAATATTTTTCACAAATTAAAGTTATTTAGGTAAAAGTATTTATTTTTAGATTTTTAGTTGCGATGAAAAAGTCAATGACATGAGCAAGATTCGAACCCACGATCTTCAGCTAGATATGCCGCTGCTCTACCACTTGAGCTATCGTTACCTCGATCCACTCGGACACTAACTTCCCATCTCACCCCCACCTTTTGAATTTTCCCTCCTTAGTACTTATAATATTATAATCATCTAAATATTGTGCAAATATTGAAATCTTTTTCCAAAATTAAAGTTATTTATGTAAAAGTTCATATAATATTATAATCAAATGAATTTCTATTTTAATAATTAAAGATAAAATATCAAGTGCCTAAACATTTTGAATTAACAGCTTCTTCAAAACTGCAAGAAAAACCCCTTTTTAAATAAATACAATTGAAACTAGAAAAAATCATACAATAAATAATTCTTGACCTATGAATTAAGATTTGCATGTAATTTCAGGATAGTTACTTGTAAGGGCTATGGGTGGGAGAAACAGAGTGCGAACGCACCATGGAGAATTGTAGTTTATCACTGGATAACTGTACGGATTTGTTCTTGGAGACAAACTCGACCTATGAATCCGATACATTCCTTCCGCAACAGATCTGTGGTGAATGGGAGCCCGCTCAACATAACCTCTTCCAGTTGTCAAACCTTTTCTTTGCTGCTGCTTTCCTAGTGCCAAGAAGCTACAAACAAGGGATAATCATTCTAAGGTAGGTGCAGTCGCTCTGTCCTGCCAAAAGACGTACAGTATATTTGTTTTCTAGGGCGTTGTTAAGTGCTGGATTTTTCGTTCAGGCCGTATGGTCTGGTGTACACGTATGCTCAGGTGACATCGTGATCTGGGCGACTGTGCTTGGTTTTCTCAACCTTTTGCACACAGTGGCCTTGTTCGTGCGGCTCATACCGCCCTCCCTCTCGCCCGAGCTGACGGAACTTTACACCAGAATGTTCAGCCCTCTCAAAGTGTCCAGGAAACACTTCAAAGAGCTTACAAAAGAGGCGAGTGTACTCATGCTCGATCCGGGTGATGCATATGCAGTTGAAGAAGTTACAAATGCAGACGACAGACTGTCCATACTTTTAAAGGGAAAGTGAGTTCTATTATTTAAGCAAGTATTTAAAGTAGTATTTGATTGAATATTTTAAATTTTACAATTTATTATATAACTGCTACACATTCTTGAAATAAATTCTGATTCAGGTTGAAAGTTACATGCGACAGTATACATCTTCATTACATATCATCATATCAGTTCATAGACTCACCGGAGTGGGAAGCTGGGCATGTTACCAGTGATGAACTGTTTCAGGTAAATATTCATAATTGATATATTCATTTTAAAAAATTAATAAATAATTATTTTTTCACCATCAGGTGACAATAACTGCTGAAGAGGAGAGTTTATATCTCTGCTGGCCTAAACTGAAACTAGCCAGAGTACTGCGGCACAGGCCAACATTAAAAATAATTTTATCTAATTTGATAGGTATCAGTAGCACTCACATATATTTATATTTATTTTAATCACTAGTGAAAATACATAGAAGCTTTAAATTAAATAGATACGCTAGAAAAAAAAAAAAAAAAAACATTGCTCATTAGTCATTACTGTTCTTTCCATTTCTGGACTAAAAAATAGGAAACATGAGCAGAAAACCAATATACAACTAAAATATAATTATCAAATAATTTCCACACACACAAAAAAAATCCTACGCTCTTTTTATAGCATCAGACTAGAAATGTGTACAGTTTCGCAGGCTATTAATTGATCCATAACATAATTTTTCATGCAGTCACATAAATTTTAAAAGAATTGCTGTCTTGAAGATTGCTTGCTTTATTTGATCAACCAATACATTAGTTAATTAATCTATTGTGTCATTCAATTATAATATAATTTATTTGTTTTGAATGTAAAATGCATCGGTCGTTTAAAATATTGCCTTAGAATTTTGACGAGTTGTATCTTTTTCATTTGTGCCTCCAGGAATGGAATTGCATTGCTCAATTTATTCACTAATTTATGCAATAAGCAGATAGGTTAAATGAAAAAATATAACTAACCTATTAAGCATGAATGTTAGCCGCTCATCAATGATCATGTAATGTCATGAACTCGTTAGATGGCTTTATATGCACAGTCGGTCACTGTCAATGACACCTCTACCTTAATAAGGATTGGTAGGGAGAGTAAGGAAAGATCCTGGATAATGGAGTTGGAATTTGAGGTTCAAAGTCTGAGTGGAGAGTATTGTAACTAACGAAGAAAGGATTTTTGAATGGAGGGAAAGGATCCAGTTAAGGCCTAATTTTTTTAGTCGCTCCATGTAGTTCCAGTCTATAAGTCCATATTGGAGCAGGAAGTGCTGAATATCTTTTTGATGTATTGTAAATCTTGAACAGCACTCGATCTTAGCAATTATTTAGTTGTCGTGTATATGTATTTCAATTCTGCCCTTTTAAGTTGTGTATGTGGATTCCATTGTATGCCTATGTACAGTCCCAAGTATTTGACAGTGCAATTTGATTCACGTAAATGGGATGGATAGTTTGCTTTGAGAGAAAAGGACACACATTACAGAACTATCGCTTTTAGGTTAGGAGGTGGTCTCAGAGAGATCAAACCGCTAGAACTGGCCGCAGGTTTGCAGATAGGATTGCCGTATCGTCAACAAAGGTAAATGCAAGTATTGAGGAAAATCTGACATGTTTCTGAAAAGTAACGGACCTAGAATGCTCCCTTGAGGGGCACCTAAGATCGAAGAGGTAGAGGTTTAGTAGAGGTTAGATAGGGACGAATTTAAGTATGTACTAGAAATGAAGGATTTTAGTTTCAGCAATAGACCCTAGTTCCATTATTGTAGTTGTTCCTAGTTTTTAAAATAATTTTTTTACAGACCCATGTATGTTTGACAAGGGTTTTCTATATGACTGCCATTAAAAGTGTCATAGACGATGACACAGACAAATTTCAAATCATGTAAGAAATCAACCTGTGTTGAATGGCAAACTAATCTAGCACACTAAAATACTAAGCCGTAGTATACTCCAAAAAGACATCTAGAAACTGTTATTTTTCTTCTGAAATTTTTTTCCATTATTGTTAAGGCAGATTTCCCATCATACTGTTAACACCATCCAATAACAACAACCACTTTAATGGTTTGAAATTTATCAAAATATTGACTTACTGATAAATGATAAAAATAAAAGAATAGTAAGTAAAATTTAAAGTTTAAGAAGAAAAAGTGCTCACCTGATAAAGCGACCCCAGGGTGGCAGCCAGGCACTCCATTTGATTATGGTATCACCATTGCTCTATTTTAACAAATGTCCAGGGACATGGATAAAAACAATTTTTTATGAGGTCAAGGCACTATGAAAAAGTCCATACCAAATATTCCCAGAGCCCCTGATACCCAACCTACCACCACCTGGCCCAACCAACTGAGGCGACTGACATGGCTGGTTGTCATTTGTTCTTGCAGATAATTAATCTAGTGGGGAGGGGTGTATCACCCCGAATTAGTGCCTGGTTAAGATTCTTTCTACCATGGTAATAAAAGGGGCAAGCAAGAAAGACAGTGGAAACTTGGTCACATTCACATACCAGGGAGACAGTGACACCTGTTAGGTTAGGGTACCTATAGGTGATAAGGGAGACTATTGTGATTTAATTGGAGTCATATCTATGAGAAGAACAGTTTCTTAGAGCCATTCATTCTCATGAACAATGGTTTAGGCTGTATAGATGCATACCTTGTTTCTTTCTCTCTGCAGGACATTTCATTCTTCCATAACATTTTGCAAAAGCTATAATGTCACTTTGAATGGAACTCTGCTACTTACTGCTTCCTTAGTTAACACATCCACTTTGTTGCTGCCTTTGCACAAATTTTATAAACAATATTCCTTTATTTTCCTTGTCCATCAGTAGTGGTCTGATTTTGACATTCTGGGAGTCATACGAGTCACAGTTTCTTCTCACAATAAGACAGTTAGGCTAATCTTCCAGACATGTGCTCCGTAATGTAGCTCAAGGTCTCACATATTGCTACTCTCAAGTTTAAAATTTATAAAAACAACACATGCGCAGGAGGACAAATGAAAAGTGCGACTCTTTAGAATTGTTAGTTATAAAGATAAAAAGCACAAGTAGATAGGATAAATTGCATAACTTATTTATGTAAATTTGAGAAAGACAGCTATAACAAAGAAAATTAGATTCATTGGTGGGGTTGAGATGGGAGGTTAGTGTCACGAGCGGGATTTGAACCCACGACCTTCAGCTTGATACGCCGCTACTCTACCACCTGAGCTATCGTAACTTCGATCCACTCGAACACTAACTTCCCATCTCAACCCCACCTTTTGAATTTTCCCTCCTTTTTTTTTTCAAAAGGTGGGGTTGAGATGGGAAGTTAGTGCCCGGAGGGATCGAAGTCACGATAGCTCCAGTGGTAGAGTAGCGGCATATTTAGCCGAAGGTCGTGGGTTCGAATCCCGCTCGTGACACTGTCTTTATCTCAACTATAAAAACCTTAATTGAAAGAAAATTAGTTTCATTCTTCAAAATAGAACAAAATAATTTGAAAACTCAACACTTGTAATGCTTAATGTTTCCAAAATGAACAGATAATGCCATTTGCAAATAAAGTAGAATGCTTTAACAAAATTTAAAAAAAATCAAAAATCATATAAATATTGTGCTATTGTGGCTTTGCATGCATAACTAGATGCTTTTGCATTTCTATAATAATTTTATTTTTTACATTTTGAAAGTGTCGGCTTATCTTGACTTGTTTTAAAACTGACACATGCACAAGCTCACACTATATTGTTTTTGAATTGGAAAAAAAAACACTTTGTGAAGGACCCATATTGCAAAATAACTGTCCACACCTTTTATGTTCTATTCCTTTTGGGAAATGCTTCTTTTTTTAATTAAGAGACTATTAAAGCAAATCCAAACCTAATTGCACTTTAAATAATAATTAATATATTATTCCGCGATAGGTAAAGATATTACTCAGAAACTGTATTGGCTCAATGAAGCTGTTGGGTTAAGTGGCGCACTTGGTGGAAAAGACATGACTCCTACCGGTTGCGAACATTTCAGAAGAGTCATGTCTCGTTCATTGTCTGCTGATGCTGTTAACACTAGCACCAAAGGTCATGTCAAATCACTTGCATGGCGTAAGCAAGCAGGCGATAAATCGGATTCTTTAATTTTCTCAGACAGTAAGTTTGAACAAAATGAATTTAATATTAATTTGTTTTAAATGTCATCTGGAAAATAAAAATTGGCTAAGAGAATAAAAGTAAATTTTCTTCTAAAACAAGTTTAAAATATTTCAACATATAGAAATAAGCAACACAATGTTTTTTTTTGTTTTTATTATTATACTTTGTTTAGTCGTTTAGATCTAGTTTTATATTAGACTGTGAAGTAGCTTAAACGCAATCATTATGATTTTTTTAGACTAATAACTATTCTGGAACAAATTTCACTTGTCACAAATTTTAAACTTGTTTTATAGCCTTTTATTTCTGTATTTGACATTCACATCACATCAAACACACACACTTAAAACATGATATGATTCATTATGGTTTGTTAGAAGTAATAAGAGATTATTTTAGAATGCATGGGAAAACTGTATTCTAATGATGAATTTTTTCTTTTCTGTTTATACAAGTTTAATTGTTTTCTTTTGCACCCGTGAAATATTTTCTGCTTGAAAAATTGTAAAATCATTTTAAAAGTTAAGTAAGTATCTATGATTGATTTTTAACATCTGGTCAATATTGGTAATGTGTGTTTTCATTTCATATTTAAACAACAAGGAATGTCAAATTCAAAAATTAAGATGTTTTAATTAAATTTTGTACTTTTTGATAAATGATCTGTTATAATTTTTTTATTTTTTATTTATATCTAGTCAACAAGTGTGTAGTATTCTAAATTTAATAAAATTTATTTTTAAAATGTGCGTGAAAGTGTATGTGCGCGCGCGCACGCGCGCGCGTGTGTGTGTGTGTGTGTGTGTGAGAGAGAGAGAGAGAGAGAGAGAGAGAGAGAGAGAGAGAGAGAGAGAAGGTATCCATGAATATTGATGTTTTTACACAAGCTGAGAAAATGTGCGAGTGCGTTTAACTCTTTAATTGCCATGCAGGTGAAATGGTAATTCTTTTTCCATGTGACAATCATCTTTTTTAGGGAAGAATTTTTAAAAGGATCTTTTCATAATAATCTTTTATAAATGGTTAATCAACTCATACATTATATTTTTAAATCTGTCGTAATGATTTTATGAAAATTGCAAATAAAATAAATAAATAAATTACAAGTTTTTACATTTTTACAGACATTTAATTTTTTTTTTAACTTTTATGCAAAAAAAACTGGAACTGGTACAAGTTTCCTCATTTTATCTGCAGTGAAGAGTGTAAATAAGATTTTAAGTTGAGATAAAAAAGTCAGTGTCACGAGCGGGATCCGAACCCACGACCTTCGGCTTGATACGCCGCTACTTTACCACTTGAGCTATCTCAACATCGATCCACTCGGACACTAACTTCCCATCTCAACCCCACCTTTTGAATTTTCCCTCCTTTTTTTCAAAAGGTGGGGTTGAGATGCCCAAGGGGATTGAAGTCACAATAGCTCAAGTGGTAGAGTAACGGCATATCAAGCCGAAGGTCGTGGGTTCGGATCCCGCTCGTGACACTGACTTTTTTATCTCAACTTAAAACCTTAATTAATTGAATGATATTAATTGGTCAAGCAGACCACGAAAAATAGTGAATTTAGTGTAAATAAGCTTAATTTGACCAGAACTCATATAAATTGAGTGTGTAATAATTGTATATATATTACGTATAAAATAGTTCCAATGCAAACTTAGATTTACAAGTGGTCAGAGCTTCATTATTTGGAAATTTCATTTTTAGATGAATCACCACTAAATTTAACCCAGCACGAATGGTGGCAACCAGTTGTGGCAAATCAGTTCTTAGAGTCTTCGCCGTTTCCATCGGCGATACCTCCACCGATAAATCTGATGCCAGTCGCCCCACCAACACTGAAAAGAAGTAGCATAAAAAGGCCTAGGGAAGTGAAATTTGAAGAGAGCAACGTTTGACAATTGTTCGACCCCGATGAGACGCAACCTCTTCTTCTACCTGTAACATGAGCTTCCTTCCCTGAGAAATTTGCTAACTAGGTAACTTTAAACAAAAAAAACAATCTGTCTTGAGCAAATGGTTTCAGTTGAAAAAGAAAAATCGCCTATCAAATGGATGCACATTTGACAATTTTGCACGTACCATTTATTTTTGTCTTCCACTATTAAAGAATTTTCAGGAGAATAAATATGTGATGAAATCTTTGGAATTTATCCAATGTGTTATATTTTTTACTCGACAAAATACATGCTTTTTGTCACAAACATTTTTTTATTAATATAAACACGAACCTTCAAGTTTGTGAGAACTTCTTTATGAAGTAAAGTCAATGTGTTGGTGTTATTGTAGTGGTTTATAAGATGGTTAGATAGAGTGCCTTGGTGTTAAATTGAACAAAAGAAAAAAAATTATATCTTGTGTTTTTATAAAACAAACTTTAAGATTATTGTACAAGAAGGAACGAGTGTCATACAAAGTATTGAGCTCAACTGTACAATAACGTTCTCATAAAATGATATTACACTTTTGTTTTTTATTAACAATTTTACTTTTTATGCCCTCGTTCCAATGAAAGACCTAGAATTGCTTCAATGTTGTAACATCAATGAAAAAAATAATTTTAGTGTTTTTGCAACCTCGTGTTATTTAACATAAAGTTTCTATATTTCATTAAATGTATATATTATAAGACTGTAAAATCCTAAAGCTCTGAATTGATTTTTTTAATGTTCTAAGTGACAAATTGAGCATCTTTAGGTAATCACCTTTAGGATAATTAATCAATAATGACAAATTGTAAATAACATTTTTTTTAATGTGTGTACTATTCTTTGTGCTGTTTTCAACCATACAATTTCTATCGATCAAAGGATAATTTTATGAAAATCAGTCAACTTTTACCTATCGTTCTCAATTTATCGTTTAGAATTGTAACTATACCTGAAATTTCTTTAAATATAAATATTAATAGATAAGATTTATGGGCGATTGTAGGTTAACTAATATTACATTTCTAAGCAAATAGTTTTAAGCAGTAAAGCTTTTTATTTAATCGTAAATTTTTTGAAACGTGAGTTCATTTTTATTTTCAAACAGAAACTAATGAACCTTAGTTAATCAGTTCCTAATAATTAATTTATTTATTTGCAACAGGGTTATAAAAAATGTATTCTTCTCACAAATATGAAATTTATATATTTTGATACTATAATGAAGATGCGGTTCCAAAAATATGCTCATTCTTTTAGAATTAAATGTACGTATGTAAGGAAATTTAAAAATTTCCCCTTTAAAAATAAACAAATAAATGTAAAATGCTAAAAATTATAAAATTGCTGATTGTATTAAGGGCTTTCTATAGTTAAGCAAAAACAAAAAATTAATTGATTAAGAAGGCATTTATGAAAAATTTGAAATTGTTGAAAGTGTGCATGATAGAAACATGAATGAAAGAATATTTATAGAAATAAAAAGTAATGTTGAAATACTTTTTTATAATCCTGTTAGTACCAGATTAAGCAAAAAAAATTTAAAGCTGTTAAAGTTTTTTAAAGCATATTTGATATGAGTAACAACGAAAGCTGATTAGGACAAATGAACGATAACTATCACTGCAAAATAATGCCTTAAATAATCTAAAGACTGGATATGATAAATTCCCTTTAACTTCACTAAATTACTTATTCCCCCCCCCAAATGGTGGTTTTAGCACTTAGTTACCCTTTTATTATTTAATTTTGATTTGTCATCTGTGTATTCAATTACGTTTGCAGGTAGACAGCAGATTTTCCCCGACAGTTAGCCCTTTTAACTATAAATTGAACGCTTGAAAAAAAAATCTTGAATTGTAAGTTCTAAAATTTTGTAAGTTTTTGATCGTAAAGTAATATGTTGGAAACACTTCCACTTTTCATCTGTGATTTCAATCAGATTTAATCATCGGCCTTCTAAAAAATTTACAATCCAAAAAATTAGCTGGCAAAACTATCTTTATACCTTTACTATGTAGATCAACGTAGGTGATGAACACTTCATTAGTTCTCAAACAGTAAACAAATAAAAAAAAATAATAAAAGAACGAAACACTTTAAAAAGATAATTATTCTTATTAATCGCCAAAGATCAAAATGACCGTTTTATTAGAACAATTATGAGTTGTTTTAAAATTTTGTGTACAAAATTAATTGTGTTTACATATATACCTATGTATATATAGATATTAATACTAGAAGTTATTATTGTAAATGATATATATTATCTAATAAGTTTATTATGTGTCTTGATGGTTTAAAGTTATGTATAATTTAGTAGAGTTTTATGTATGTTTATATTTTACACAAATAAAGTGATAACAAACTTTATTTTTAGTTCAATTGAATTATAACTTTTCAATAAGGACAATCTTGCCAACAAATACTTGAAGACATTATTTGTAATTTGAAGTTGAATTTTGCTTGTTGTGAAATTGGTTGGAATTTTAAATTCTCAAGTGCTTTCGAGGAACAAGAGGGCGGACCTGGCTGCGAAAGCGGGTACTCTTGTTCTTCACAGTGATGATGTTGAGACCGCCCTGATTCGGCCTGACGACGCTAAGAGAATAATGAAAAATTTGATATTAAACAAGTGGAAGCGTTGTTGGGCCGACGATGGAGCCCGGAGGGGATATCTCGAAGGGAAAAGCATTGTCCTGACCCGCCTGCGGATTGGTCATACACGTGCGACTCATGGGTACCTGTTGGTTGGCACAAGTCGATCGAGGTGCCCAGCATGCCAAGATGACAGACTCAAGGTGTCGCTGTGTTGTTGTCACAGCTTGGCCCCGTATAGGGACCGAAATGGAATACCGTGAGATTATAGGAGAATGCTCGAGCATGGCAGCGAATTTAAAGAAAAACTTTTTAGGTTTTTAAGAGATATTGGGATTTATTTATTTCAGGGCATTTATTTCATAGGTTAAAGTTCAGTTTTCGTTAATGTTAGAATAGGAGTATGCTGGGCGGCGGTGCAGTATATTATTTCAAGGCTCCACCACTGCTCCGCTAAGCCGGGTCGGGGCGAAATATCAAGTACCCTCCGACCCGGATTCTAGACGGAGGATATGCATGTGTGATTGGATTTGTATATAGGAGTATGTATGTATTTACTGTGTAAGTGTGAGAATGACTAGCTTTAGGAAACATAAGGGTGCCGAAATGACCAAAGAAGTCAATGGCACCCAACTAGAGCCCAACCTCGGAGTCGCTCAGGCACCAAGGTGTGTCTCTCTCCCCCTGATTTATCCAGGGCCTGGGATTTACAAACATTGTTTACATTTAACAAATACATTTAGGATGTGGAAAAGTGAATTTATACAATGCAAAATATATTTTTTATATTCAATCGAAGTATTTTTACTCACTCAAAGTGTTTGTTTTCTGTGTAATTGTGCCATTCTTGTGTGTAAATCCCAGGCCCTGAAGATGATCTCAATAAAGATCGAAACGTTGGCACGATAAAGAAAATGTTTTTCTGAAACCTACATCACACAGACCGCATCTCACGATTTCTGAATAATTTGTGTCAAATTTCGGATATAAAGACCTTCAATCAGATATAAAAGGGAAAAATTCACCTCGCTGCTCATATTCTTGAGGTAAGAAATCAATTAGAATCTAAATTTCTCGTGTGTGTTATGGATAAAAATCAATTTTTAAACTATTTGTCTAATTTTTCTTTCAACTTTGTGTCAAATTTTCGATATAAAGACCTTCGATGAGACATAAAATATTCACATTCACCTCGCTTCTTATGTTCTCAGTGTGAGAAATTCCATAAGCCTGAAATTTTCAAACCAGATCTAAAATTTAACCTGCATTATAGTATGACAGAAGTAATTAGGAATTTTAAAAATGGCACAAAGGAAAAACACACTCAAACCGGAAGATGAAAAACGCTGAAACTCTGATAGGAGAAACTGTGGATTGGCAGACCAGGACAAAATAAACCAAACTAAAATCATAATTAACATAAATTATAATTAATTTAATTTATACAGAATGAATGCTTTTAAAACAAATTGAATATTGGTAAGTTTTATGAAAAATAATTGTTCGCTCCATTTTTAGAATGGTCGTTGTCAGCTGGCTGAAATACAAAGTAGCCCCAATGTGAGTAGTATTTCTCTTGTTTCTTGTGTTTATTATATGTTGTGTATTTTATATTTGGCCCTCGAAAAACCTTCAGGAATTCACATTTAAAACTTAAAAAAATTAATATGAAACGTAAAAGAGAATTCGAATAAACTTACATGAACTTTCACAGGCTGAACTTCAGGTTTTAAGAAGCCTGCGGTATACTGTGTTGGTGGATATTTATCGGATGGTCTATTATAAAAATTTGTATTTGTAGTACTTGCCACATTCATATCATCCTTTATTTTAGGATCTGGAGCAACTCTGACAATATGCAGTTGACCTTTAAAAAAAAAAATAAATAAATAAATAAAATAACAATACATTAAGTATATCATTATGCTTACTTTCTGCGATGTCATTATTTAAAACTGGAGCCCTTAAGTGGGATGTATAATTAATTTTTGTAATAAAGTTTGATGGTATCGTACCAACGATGTTTTCATGGCTTATAACTTCAACGGGCGGAAAATCATTCGCTTCTTTTGTGAACTGTACCAACTCTTGCTGACGTTTCTGCATCAGCTCATTTTTTATGGTGTCAAAATTCGCCCTCATCATTCGCTTAAGGCCTGAGAAACTGTTGTAGTTGTGGTTTGGGTAAATGGTAGGAAACACAAATTTCACTTGTAAAACAGCAATTAACTGGAAATAATCGAAATTATAACAACCTTTTATTCTAAAATTCAAATTTGAAAAAAAAACTGTTACCTTGAGAAATGTCAGCTTGTACATTGTACGGATTCAAATGACACAATAAAATAAAATAGCCAGACAGCGAAAGTAACGTTAATCAGAGTCTGACAATCAAGATGGTCTTAATTCAGTTGGAACTTGTATAATTATCCAATTAAAAAAAAAGAAAAAAAGTGACAGACAGAAATGTAAATGATATAAACGGACAATAATAATGATGGAATAGCTTTTTAGTTAATAGGGCATGTCTGCCTCTTTTCACATTCTTTTCAACATTAGAATTGTTTTTATCTAATGAAGAACCTTTCATTTAATTATCTTTAAATATTACTATGGAAATATTGAAAAACAACTGAGTCAGAGATCGTGATATGCTGGTTACACAAAAGTTCCATTTCCAGAGCTTTTTCTAAAAAAGTTTGTACATTATGAGCAAAACGAACCCTTTGTAACTAATACCTGTACAAAATAAAACAAGTAAAATCTGAGAGATGCCCGTATTGTTTGGAAATAGGCTGTATGGTGCATATATGTATGAGCCGTCCTAAATTTTTGGAAAAAAAATAAGCGTCTATTGATAGGTTGAAAAATTCCAAGATCTCTGGGGTTGAAAACTTTTATTCAATTTAGTAAATTACATGTACGTTTCGGGCTCCTGGCCATCATCAGCAACTGGACTATGCCAATGGTACATACATATTATTTTTCCACCCCCTTTATTTGTTGAGGGGAATGACGTCAAAACTGTTTTAAAACTTCAGTTGCTATCCGTCCTTCTCTGAGTGGGCCCCACCTTCACACGCTTGTCCAACTGCATTGGTTGTGGTTTTTGGTTTTTGCCACCATGGCCAATGCAATTCGACAATCTTGTGAAGGTGGGACCCACCCGGAGAAGGGGAACTGAAGTTTTAAGACAATTTTGACGACATTCCCCTCAACAAATAAAGGGGGTGGAAAAATAATATATATGTATCATTGGCATAGACCAGTTGCTGATTATGGCCAGGAGCCCGAACGTCCATGTAATTTACTAAATTGAATAAAAGTTTTCAACCACAGAGATCTTGGATTTTTTCAACCTATCAACAGATCAGATATGAACCGTAGAGTTGGTAATATATAAAATAAGACAAAATAAGTGAATAAGGGCTATTAGAACAGCCCTTTAACTTCAAGGGATTTGGGTGTTTGCAGGTGGTGACATTTCTAAAAAATAGACCATCAGGTCTGAGATGATCGAATTTTGATGCTTACTGTTTTAAAACTTCAGTCGCATTTATTGTTTCTTATGACTAAAGACTGACTTCCTGGGAGGATTCTGTATGGGACAGAAGGGCCTCCTCTTGTTAGAGGGGGGGAGTAAATTCTTTGGGGCCTAAAAGAACTCCAACCAATATTGTATTCAGTCCTTCCGTCATACAATATTAAATGCCTCTTCTATGTCAGGAACCAGCCCTAAACATCATCCATGTCCTGACTTGTCAAATCCCTAACCTACATAGTCCTGCCATAAGTTCTGTTACAAGAAAAAGGGCCATTAGGGAATAGAGAAACTTGATCATTTGAAAAAGAAATTTATTTTAAAAAATCCAATATTTTTTAAGATTGAAATAAAATAATATTACTCGAAATAACCACCTTTTGCCTTCACACAAGCTTTTAGTCTTCGGGGCCAATCATCTATGGCAGTACGCAACACGTCTTGAGGAAATTTCTCAACTGCTTTTAGCAGAGCGAACTTGAGGCTCTCTAAATTGGCGTGTTTGCTGTGGCAAGCCGTAAGCTCAAGATGGGACCACACCTTGTTGTCCAGAGGATTCAAATCTGGGCTTCCCGAGGGCCAATCTAAAGCCTTATTGAATTCCGGAACATTCTCCTCCAGCCACTGCTGAGTTGTTTAGGCCTTGTGCATAGGAGCTGAGTCCTAATGGAAGACCCAATGAGTTCTGGAAAAAAGAATAGTACTTAAGGGCTTTACTACTTTCTCAAGGATGTCTTCTTGGTAATTTTTCGCCCTTGTTTTGACTCCTTGCTCACAAAAATGGAGTTTTGTGGTGCCATCATAGCAAACTCCCCACCACACCAAGTGGGGATTTGAATCCTCTGGACTACAAGGTGTGGTCCTATCTTGAGCTTATGGCTTGCCACAGGAAACACGCCAATTCAGAGCCTCAAGTCTGCTCTGCTAAAAGCAGTTGAGAAATTTCCTCAAGATGTGTTGTGTACTGCCATAGATGATTGGCCCCAAGACTAAAAGTTTGTGTGAAGGCAAAAGGTGGTCATTTCGAGTAATATTATTTTATTTCAATCTTAAAAAATATTGGATTTTTTAAAATAAATTTCTTTTTCAAATTATCAAGTTTCTCTATTCCCTAATGGCCCTTTTTCTTGTAACAGAACTTATGGCAGGACTAGGTAAACCCTAACCTTAAATTCCATTCCACATGATCTCATCCCTATCCATTAATACACCACAATAGTCAGACGTAAAGGTCATGTAAAGCACTAAGGGTGGCACTCTTTCAAAGACTAGGCTGTTTGATGATGACAGGAGCATTTTCAACTACACTCACCCTAGCATTTGAAATCATAACCAATACCACACCTCTACACATTGAGGCTAAGGATGCACAAGGAGCACTAATCAGCTGCTACAGATTAATTAGCGAAGGCAGCTGGAATCATAAGTGCAATAACATGGGTCTCTCGAAAATCTTACAACTATTAAGTAAGGTTAACGGCCAATTATTAAGTGTTTAAATTAGGAATCAACATCTCCTCCCCTCTTGGGAATAACACCTCCGTTTTTCAGGCGGTCATTACAAAAAGATTTGGTGGAGGAAACTGTAGATCTTATCAATAGGATCTCTTCCAGGTTTGAGAACAAGGTAACCTTTATTTGGATACCAGCACATAAAGGACACCATGGCAATGTAAAGGCGGATGGCCTGGCCAAAGAAGGTTCTAATACTGCGTTTGTCAGGCCACAACGGGTATTACCCTGTATGAGCACAGCGAAAGAGAGTATAAATAACTGGCTCATGAAACAATTTCTTAAGGCGTGGAATCTATCCCCTGGATACAGGTAATCGAAAGAGTTTGTTAAGGTGATCAAACCAGCAGAATCAAAATGGCTATTCTCTATCTCAAGGAAGGGAATTAGGAGGCTGATAGGTATTCTGACGGGCCACTGCCCACTGAGAAGACACCTCTCCGTAATGGGTATTCTACCAGATCCCTTCCAAGTGGTCATGGATCTTTGGAAGAAAGGCAACCCCAAGTTTCAGGATCAGGGCTATATGGGAAACATTGGTAAAAAGGGGTTTGATGTGTGGTAAAGAGGCCGAATTACACCTAGCCCTTGGACTGGCTCATCTTTCAAGCTGAGGTCCATGCAATCCTATGTACAGGAGTTTGTAAAGAATAAAAGGGGCATGGATTTACATGCTTTCATATCGCCAGGCAGCTTTACAGGAACTAAATGCGTACGCTAGTCTGAGAGTGCTTAACTTGTCTAATGACTCTAGGAGAACACAACAAGGTTATCTTAAGGTAGGCTCGAATGAATTGAACAGTTGACCCAGCTAAAGAATCTCACCCATGGGACCAGAACCACAACTAGGCACAACGGACAGGTGAACTGGAAAAATGGCATGAGAAAGAAAAACCCAAGCACTGGACAAACTCACCAGGTATGAGGGAAGCTAAGAGATTTATAATCTCTCAAAAAGGAAGGCAAAGAGACTCCTCTCTCCCACTTCACTGCCCTCTTAATTACGGTCTAAAGAAGATGAGGAGAGCAGAGGCAGAAATATGCCGACACTGTACAGAAACCAGAGACATCGGCAGATATCCTTTGTGAATGTAAAGTACTATAAAGTAGAAACTATATGATAAAGCCACTTCTGTAAGGCAATTCTCACATTAAGATAAATACATGCATGAAGAAGTACCAAGTAAAGTTTAGTTTTGTGAAAAAAAGGTAGGAATCCATTAATAAATGCATATTTCATCATTCTCTTCCTATGAACTCTCCTAGATGACTGAAAAATGTCTCTGTATTTATATAATCTATGTTTAGATGTAAAAAAAGGGAAAAATAATGAGCAGGATTTTATAAAAACTATAATATTAAACACATGTATTTGAAAAATATTGTATTTATATAATGTAAACAACAACAAATAGTTTTTGTACACAAGACAGTAAATTTACACGTCATTTTGGTGAAGCGGTGTATCTTTTTTTTACAATTGTCATAAATCTCATATCCCATCTGACAAAATGGAAGATAATGTAAGTTTGTACGAGCCCTCAAAATTGAGTTTGCCAAGGCCTAAAACACTGGGTGATAAAACTGCTAAAATTTGTGACTCACTTATGAAAAATTTACAGATCACCAGTGTAAGCCCATTATTGGAAATAACACATGAACCTGATGACTATTATAAAGACCAAAGGATCATATTAAATGCAATAAAAAATCTCGTAGCTAAACTAAAGAAAAAACGGCCCGACATAGAATGTCTAAGTAACACGGAAGATAGAATTTCATTTGATCGAATAACATACATAAATGCTATGTTTGTCATTCAAAGAATACACGAGTTGCTTTTAAAGAACAAATCCTGCAAAAAACTAGCCGGTAAAGTCAGGACCGACATGAAACTTTTCATTGCAGATTTTGCAAATCGCTTAAATAATGACTGTATTTTACAAGTCAAAATAAACAGAGTGCAGCATCAAAATTCTAAGAAAAATAAAAGACATGTGAAATTAGAGATAATTTATAACAATAAAGAAATGCCTCAGTTATTGTCCAAAGCTTTCTTTTCTAAGTCCTCCATCGAAGTATTGAGCCAAAGCAATTTGTTCACAGACGGCAAATGCACTATTAACAAATGCGCTACAGACAACAAAAATTTTGGTTATGAAGTGAATAAAATAATTTCAGCAATAACTTCAACCGACTTTTACAGGCCTTCGATCCAACCCAAAAAGTACAATTTAAAACAAAATTATGGTCACAAGCTGCGACAAATAAACACGATATGCAAAATATTCCAAGAAGAAAACATTGGAATTCAAAATGTAACAGAAAGTCTGATATCGATGATCTAAAAATCGCACGACTGTAAAGTGACAAGTTTGTAAATATATTTAGTGTTGGCCTGAAATTAATGTTAGATAGATTTTCTGGTATTTTGATACTTACACATTTATTTAAAACATAATTTAATTGTACACAGTTAATATAATAATACAAAAGTAGGATTGTATAAAATTCCAACACATACAATCAGGCACGTATTTGCTATACATTAAAGCATACATAAAGCTATACATAACATAACATGACTAAATATTTTCAGCAATCAGGTACAAACAAAACCATTTAAAAACGACTAGAAAAAAGCCAAGGAACTTTGCTTAGAACATGTTAAATGCACACAATGTATTTTTTGTTTTTTTAATTCAAGAGATTTGTGAAAAAATTCTACATATTGAACAAAGGCTAAAACGATTTGAGCTGAAACAAATGCAAAAATGTCCTTTCACTCATGATTCTGCATCTTGTTGCTGTAAAATAATTAATGTTTGTACTTGAAAGATTGTTAAATAAAACCCAATCATTAAAGTTTAACAATTTTTGGGTAAAATTTCTTTCCACCAGTTGGTCGGGTAATGGTATTTTTGAATTTCTATGCCTTCCCTAGGCACTGGCATTATGTACCCTCCGAATTCTTTTTTAGGAAGAGGCGGTTCAGCCAATCTAGGAGGAAAGCAGTTTAAAGAGCGCAATGATTCACAGTCAGGAGGTAGGACTCTTCTCTTCCAGCCAACACGTCTCAACATGTTGATCTGAAACAATTCAGTTAAATGAAACGGGTTGGAAAAAGCCCCTTTGGAAAATAACATACCATAGGATCTTTTTCAAAAACAATTAACTGAACCTTAGCCCCAGGGAGTTTTGAATCCGTAACAGAGTAGACACCCTCCGTCGAGTCGTAATCGATCTGCATCTCTTTGTTTCTAAATGTCCTTGCAAAGTAGACTTCATCTTTGGTTATTATCTCTTCGTTGAGAAGACAGAACTCGACGTCTGCTTCCCAAGGGAGGGATTTGGAAAGCCTTAGCTGTCCCCACAGCGAACCATAGCATAAGAAATGCGTCAGGCCAACACTCAAAAGTACAGAGTGTGCCCTAAACAAAGTCTTTTTTTATTACATTACACACTTTTATTACAAATTTCAAAAAGTGCGAAGGTAAAAACCAACCTGCCGGCCAAGTTGTGCAAGCCTTGGTGAAACTTTTCAGAATGATTGCAAGTCTGGGTGTAGTTAGCCTTCTCAAGCTTCCTGACTACAAAATACAGTACCAATACCAGAATCGTCACACTTATCACAAGAATTGTCCTCGGCAAACTCACCCTCATCTTCAACAATTTAATTTTTTGTTTAGTCATAAGATTTTGCAACTTTACGACCTATGTTCATTCATGCCTCAGGTTATTGCAAGATATTTTATTATTATTATTTTAGAGGATTTTTGAGAACTGATGAAAGGCTTTGGTACAGGCGTCTGTATCAACTTTTTGCCCTTTCTAAGACAAAGTAGGGTGCTCGTGCAATGGTTCAAAGGATTTGGGACTGGATTCTTTGTACATTGGAACACTTGGTTGAACCCCACAGGTTTGATTCTGTGCATCCACATTGATTGAAGTAATGAGGGGTTTGTTGTGTAGTGAGAGTTTCTTTTTGTTGTCAAGTAGTCTTTTGTCAAGTATGAGGATTCCAAGTCAGACAACAGAGCTGGGAGAGGAACATAGTTGTACTCAATAGGAAGGCTTTACTGTTACTTGCTGGGATTCAGTTTCATGTATAGATGGTCCTGGAGGTTTCTGAATGCCACTACTGGGTATGGGGTTTGCTACGGTATGAATTGTATATGAGAGAAATACTGTTTCAGGATTGATAGGAATATCTGCAATATATACTGAAAAGAGAATGGACCAAGGATGCTGCGTTGTGGAACACTCGCTTCGGTATAGTGGATGAGGGAGAATGATGTTCCGATTTGTACTTGAAAGTACATCTAGAGCAAATAGGATTTTAGGATGGAGTAATGAATGGAAGGATGCCCTTGAGTTTCCAGAGTAAGCCAGGTGATACATTAGACACACTAGGCTTGTCTAACAGCTAAGAAAGCACCTGAGTTGTATTCCTTCGTTCAGAGGAGGATGTAATGTCTTATCACCCTGTGGCACTGTCGAATGGTAGTGATTTCACCAGAACACAAATCGATGGGATGGAATGACATTGGACCTTTCAAATATGGGATGTAGGTGTTTTTAGGAACAGTTTTTCAAGGATTTTGCCAAGTAGTGGCAGCATATTATGAAGGGAAAGTTGGAAATGGGTTTTATTACTGACAATTTCCATTGGACTGGGAAGTAGGTAGGTTTAAACACTGAGTTGTAAATGGTAGTAAGGAAAATTATCGCTTTTTTGGGGAAGATTTCAGAGGTTGTTTACGGTGGTAAGGTCAAAACCTGGTTTCTTTTTAACTTCTACTACTATGTAAATGGTACATGACACTGAGCATGAGTGACTAAACAATTGCACGATAATTGGAATAGTTATGACCATTAAACAAATATAGATAATTTGAAGTGAATCATAATGATTGTAAAACACTTGTAATATGTTATACAGAGCATGTGGTAAATAAATTCTCTTTTATTAGGGGTACTAGTACGAGGGAAAAAAAGATACAATAAGCCAGAAGGCTGCGTGCCTGGGGTGAACAAACCCCTATTCCTATTCCTATTATCATTATCATCATCATCAGCATCACATCACATAAAGTCTCAGCAATATTGTAAAAGAACAGGTCTGACAAGACTATTTCACATAATAATTCTAAGAGACATTCTAAGGAGACAATTAAACCGAAAGTAATGAAGAAAGAACATTTAATCACTTTAAACGAACAGATCTCACCTCTTATTCCATACCAAAAAATACTTCCTTGTTAATGTTCATCAACTCGCTCAAACGATCCAGTCTGATTTGAAATAAAGCGAACCGATTGGGAAATTTTTAAGCAAAAAAGGCGAGACTTCATCCATGACTTGATTTAAGCTTTAGAAAGTGAAATTTATCTTCTTTAAAAAAAAAACTGAAGTGACAAGTTTGAATACAAAAAAATATAACAGAGACAAAGGTTAAAGATAACAAGGTATTACCACCGGGCACCGGTACTAGCTGTCAGAAATCAGAAGTATCGATACTCAATAATCGTAATATGTATTTCCGATATGTATTTTGGAGGAATTTGTGTCGTTTTACATGAACTGCTCAAAAATGAATTGAAAAATTGCCAATTTTGTAATATTTTCTTTCCATAGCATTTTTATTTTAATTTTATTATAAATTGCATTAAATTTATTAGAAAGTGTTTTTTTACTGAAATACAGTATTGAGTTAAAGGGTTTTAAAAAATAAAAGATTTTAATTCCATAATTTTGTTTATTGGACTCTTTTTTTTTTTAAATTGTTTTACGAGAGTTCGCAACAGCAGAGGTCATATAAACCCTCAGGGTGCCGGTGTTTTTGAAAAAAAAGCCCATTTGTAAGTATGTCGGGTTCGAATGCAGGGCCGCTGGATTCGAACCCGGGACCTTTACCTTACAGTGATGAGCGCCGTGTCAAAGACTAAACCTTGCGGCCACCGACGCCCCCAATCATTTTTTTAAACAATTAATACAGTGTATAATGTCATCTGTCAGTTAAAACCTCTGTGCACGTGTTAGTCATACTGTTAATAAGGTTTCAAATTTCTTAAGGAATTTCATTCCAAAGAAGTTGCAACGCTGACTCAGTTGTTGCAGGTCAACTGACTTCGGATGGTGATCGAAAAGCAGTCTGCAACGCATTTCCCACGTGCTCTCAATTGGATTTGGTCTGGAGACAATGGGGAAAGGGCAGATGGGAAATTCCCAGGCTTTCTAAAAATCCCTGGTTTGAGGGATGAATTCCTCGATAATTTCTTGTACATGACGGACTGCGGTGAGGTTGACCTTAAAAAATATGGAGCCCAGTTCGTCCTCCAGTGTAAATCCCACCATTGCACCCCCTCTTCAACACTACAATGAAGGGAGCACGAACTGGGGCACACCCCTGTTCTCGGTTGACTCTTCGGCGGCTGCTATCACTGTCATACAAATAGGCGACATCAGTAAACATAACAGCATTCCAATCGTTGTTCTCTTCTAGGCGCTCACTGCACCATATTCTATAAGTACTGTGCACTAACCAATTGCGCCACTGGGGCAGGCAACGTTATCCACCCAGGGAGTTATAGCCCACGTAATGTGGAACTACAACTACGACGAGTGGTACAATGTGGATAAGGCTCGGGGCCCAAGAAACCACGTGTCCTCATCCACGTCCCTTCATTCTTCCCTGCGACCTCCCCCAACCCTTGCTTACAAGGGGAGGTGTCCGGGCGCAAAATAATGGTGTAGCCCTGAGGACGTGGCAACCTCTCTAAAGCACAAGCTGAACTCGTGTCGGCCTCGGCGGCGGGTGCTTTATCAGACGTGGGTTAGGGTACCAGGTCCTGTCTGCATAAACGGGGGAGGGTGCATAACCATCTGTACTACGGGGTAACAGAAATGTTCCACGGTTCAGCTCCTGCCCTAGGGAATGGGCTCGTAGTTGGCCGTGGCGACACCTCTGGCGGGTACCTGGAGAAGAGGCTGTGACCTTCGCACGAAACTTGCGTATGACCATCGTTATTCACCCGGCCTCACGGGATACGAAGGATCGAAAAATCGAGGCGTATAGCGTTGAGGACGCTCAGACTACGCTAACGGAGTCCCGCGAATGCGTGAGTAATGGCGGATGGAATTGGGTAGTGAATCGGTTGCTCCTAATCGAGTGCGCTGTGCACGCAGGTGTACGTAATGTGCTCCATTGGCGGCTTTTACCGTAGGCAGTCTCCTCTAGGGGGTGTTAGCAATTCCACTTTAAACGAATCCGCGACCGGAGCGGATCCGGAAGTTTCTACTCTGGGGAAGCCTCAATACTCTGGGAGATAGAGTGGCCTTCTCTATCTAGGGAGTGCGCGGGAGGCCAGGCTGATATCGACCTAGGCAGCCCTTTGCGCGCAGCATACGGTTCGCTGCTTAATGCGGACTCGACCATTCGGAGTGGACAAGCGGAGAGCGAGGTTGTTTTGGCCCCTGGGGCTGTGCTACCTCTACACCAACGCTGCAGCGGCACTTCTGTCGTATGCGGAGGTGCGTCAACTATCTTGAGAATCAAAACGTCCGATAAGCCCTATGTGCCAGGTGCGGACATTAAAGATCCTCATTGTCCTTTTAAGGACGACCGAGTATACGGGAAAGCAATGCACCATATTCTCCGGCTGTGGAGGGCTGTTGCTGCAGGTCATCTCAAAGGGACAGACGATGTGAGGACGACTTCCCACAAACGATCTAGAATCGTTTGTGTTAATAAAGGCCTTGCCAAAACATCTTATACTTCTTCATCTATGATCTGACGGGCACTATGATTCATCATTCCTGGAGTCCGTTGGTAACGAAAACGGTCGGGTACATGTCTAATATTTTTAACAACTTTCAGAAGCCTGCCAATTAAAAGTTTACTATCGTTAAACAAAATTTTATTAGTAACTTCCTCATAAGAGAGAATTTATTGACCATCCTTTTAAGTAAACAAGCCATTAGATATTTAAAACCAAAACTGGTAAGTTAAACCTGAGAAATCATAAATGCTAATGAGGATATAAAAGAGAAAATATTGACTAGTACTTCCTAAAGGATGCACAGTCGGACAAACTCTATGGATGTAAAATCAATTTCTTAACGTTCCAAATTGAAGTGTATGGACTGTTGTCATTGGCTTTACTATTAGTTACCAGGTAAGAAAAAGTAAGAAATGTATTTCAGAAAAAATGGGTTAAGTCAGAGCATTTTGAAGTTCAAGGAATAAACATATCATGCCGATGAATAAAAACAATCATATGAAATAACATCCGTTTCAATGTTTCTTTTAATTGTTTGTATAAAAGAAGCATTGAAGTAACTGAGTTAATTTCCAATTTTTATATTTTAACGCTTATCCTTAAACTCTTCGGTTTCGCCGAGTCTCATGATTCAACCTAAAGCCAAATTTGAATTGGACCGTTTGCCTTGTTGGTCTCTTAAATTATCTACATCCCCTCGATCAGATTTAAACACATTTGTTTACATTTTGGTTGTTCTTCTTTCATCCCGTTTTTTACAACAACCTTCGATCAATACAAGGAAAGTTTTCTAGACGACATTTCAATGTGGAAATTTACCATTTCTTCGTTTATGAGTAACTGCCTTCTGCAAAAGAATTTTTAATCGGTTCCACAATTTCCTTTACAAAAGTATACTGTCGAATAGAGTTTATTTCCGAAGAAGTTTAGGTTAATACAGAACAGTACAGAATTAATGGAAAAAATAAATATTTAAATTACAAATATTGCAAAATCACGTATTTGTATAGCGTAATTTTATAAAATTGATTTTTTGGAGACCGTGAGATGCGGTCTGGTGTAACCATCTCCAAATAATCGTTAATTAACGGTCACTAAACACCACACATTTTACAAAATGTTCTTTATACGTAAAAATTAAATGTTTTCGTATAGTAAGAAGTTTCAAAATTCATATTTTTCTCTAACTTATTTTTTAATTTTCAGATTGTACGACAATTTTATTATCACAATCGAGCCAATTTAAGAGATTGGGCTGTTTCCCATCCAAATCAAATCTAACTTTTTTCATGTTGAATCGAACGTTTTCCTAACCCAATCAACTTTTTCCGTGGCAATTATAACTTTTTTTCAAATAAAATAAAACTTTTTTTTACAATATAATAAACATAACTTTTTCAAATAAAACTAACTTTTTCCAAATCAAATCATGCTTTTTTCAAACCAAATCTGAACTTTTTCAACTGAATAAAACTTTTTTCCGAATCAATCAAACCTTTTCCGATACAAATTTATATCCCTAAGCAGTTTTTCGAACTAAATCACTTTTTTCTCAAATAATATCAAACAATTTCAAAACTGAATCATACCTGTTTCCGAATTAAATCGATTTTTTCGAAATCAAATCACTTTTTAAATCCATCTTTTTTAAACCAAATCAATGTTTTCCGAAACGTAATTAAACTACAAAGTACAAATTAAATCTAACTTTGTTAAAGGAATTGAAGTTTCGCCAAACCACGTTACACTTTTTCAAATCTAATTAAACTTTATTCTGAATCAAATCAAAACTAATAAAATAACATAACTTTTTCAAACTGAATCAAACTTTTACCCGAATCATATCGAACTTTTTCAATCTAAATCTGTTTTCAACCAAATCGAACGATTCCCCAATCATATCGAACTTTTTTTAAAATCAAATCTAACTTTTATTAAACGAATCACTCGAATCATGTAGAAATTTTTTCCAGCCAAATGAAATTTTTGTTCCGATTCAAACTTTTACTTGAATCATGTCGAACTTTTTCAAACCAAATAGAATATTTCCTGAATCATATCAAAGTTTTTTAAAATCAAATCTAACTTTTATTAAACGAATCACCCGAATCATGTAGAAATTTTTTCCAGCCAAACGAAATTTTTGTTCCGATTCAAACTTTTACCTGAATCATGTCGAACTTTTTCAAACCAAATAGAATATTTCCTGAATCATATCAGTTTTTTTAAAATTAAATCTAACATTTATCAAACTTTTACACGAATCATATCCAACTTTTTTCAAACCAAATAGAATGTTTCCTGAATCATATCGTAGTTTTTTTGAAACCAAATCTAACTTTTATCAAACGAATCTAACCTTTATTCGAATCATGTCGAACTTTTTCCAACCAAACGAAATTTTTGATCTGATTCAAACTTTTACCTGAATATGTCGAACTTTTTTCCAACCAAATCGAACGTTTCCCCAATCATGTAGAACTTTTTTCCAACCACACGAAATTTTTGATCCGATTCAATCTTTTACCTGAATCAGATCCAACTTTTTTCAAACCAAATAGAATATTTCCTGAATCATATCGTAGTTTTTTGAAATCAAATCTAACTTTTATCAAACGAATTTAACCTTTATCCGAATCATGTCGAACTTTTTTCCAACCAAACGAAATTTTTGATCCGATTC